TGGCAAATGAAGTTGCGAAGCTGCTGGGCATCATATTTGAGAAATCATGGCAGTCAGGTGAAGTTCCCGACGACTGGAAAAAGGGAAATATAACCCCCATTTTCAAGAAAGGGAAAATGGATGACCCAGGGAATTACAGACCAGTCAGTGTCAGCTCTGTGCCTGGCAAAATCTTGGAGCAGATTCTCCTGGAAGGCATGCTAAGGCACATGAAAATCAACAAGGTGCTTGGTGACAGCCAGCATGGCTTCACTAAGGGGAAATCCTGCCTGACCAATCTGATGGCCTTCTATGATGGGGCTACAGAACTGATGGACAGGGGCAGAGCAGTTGATGTCATCTACCTGGACTTGTGCAAAGCGTTCAACACTGTCCCACACGACATCCTTGTCTCTAAATTGGAGAGACATCAATTTGATGGATGGACCACTCGGTGGATAAAGAACTGGCTGGATGGCCGCACACAGAGTTGTGGTCAATGGCTCAATGTCCGGCTGGAGACCAGTAACGAGTGGTGTCCCGCAGGGATCGGTGTTGGGACTGGTCTTGTTCAACATCTTTGTCGCTGACATGGACAGTGGGATTGAGTGCGCCCTCAGCAAGTTTGCCGATGACACCAAGCTGTGTGGTTCAGTTGATACCCTGGAGGGAAGGAATGCCATCCAGAGGGACCTTGACACACTTGTGAGGGGGGCTGATGCCAACCTTATGAAGTTTAACCATGCCAAGTGCAAGGTCCTACACCTGGGTCGGAGCAATCCCAGGCACAGCTACAGGTTGGGCAGAGAAGAGATTCAGAGCAGCCCTGCAGAGAAGGACTTGGGGGTGTTGGTTGATGATGAGAAAATGAACATGAGCCGGCTTCAGTGTGCGCTTGCAGCCCAGAAAGCCAACTGTATCCTGGGCTGCATCAAAAGGAGCGTGACCAGCAGGTCGAAGGAGGTGATCCTGCCCCTCTACTCTGCTCTTGTGAGACCTCACCTGGAGTATTGTGTGCGGTTCTGGTGTCCTCAACGTAAAAAAGTCATGGAACTGTTGGAACAAGTCCAGAGAAGGGCCATGAGGATGATCAGGGGACTGGAGCACCTCCTGTATGAAGACAGGCTGAGGAAGCTGGGTCTGTTCAGCCTGGAGAAGAGAAGGCTGTGTGGAGACCTCATAGCAGCCTTCCAGTATCTGAAGGGCGCCTATAGGGATGCTGCAGAGGGACTCTTCATTAGGGACTGTAGTGACAGGACAAGGAGAAATGGGTTAAAACTTAAACAGGGGAAGTTTAGGTTGGATATAAGAAGGAAATTCTTTCCTGTTAGGCTGGTGAGGCACTGGAATGGGTTGCCCAGGGAGGTTGTGAATGCTCCATCCCTGGCAGTGTTCAAGGCCAGGTTGGACAGAGCCTTGGGTGATATGATTTATCGTAGGGTGTCCCTGCCCACGGCAGGGGGTTGGAACTAGATGATCTAAAGGTCCTTTCCAACCCTAACTGTTCTATGATTCTATGATAACGGCAGCTGTTAAGCAGCCTGATTCAAACTCAGATCTGTTCCCTGTCTTTGATAAAAGACAGAAGACATCCCAGCTTACACCGAGGCCAAGTAGTACTTCTGGACTTCAATTTTCCTAAATCTCATAGCACTTGAATACTGAATTGTAATTTGTCTACTTCAGGTTTAATAAATAAATAAATAATTCCTGGTCTGTCAGAGGGTGGCAGCACCACCATGGCAGTGGCAAAATTCACCTGCAGACCTGTACATTTTGAAGAATGCTACCTGAGAGCATTTTGGTTTGTTTTTCATAACACACACAAAAAAAAAGCTTGTTTTTCTCAAACCCAGAAAAGTAAATAATGATAAACTTTTTATCCACAGTTATCTTAGCTTATGGCTGGAACAGCTAGTAAGTTACTTTACTGAAGGAAATTCAATATGATAGAAAAGAGCCTGTGAGGCCAGCAGGAAAACTTTTGAGATCAGAAATGCACCTGAACAGTATAAGCAAGTTTGCACCTCAAGCAGCTTGTCCTCCTGAAGTAATCTTCTGTGGTCATCTCTGTTTTCATATTTATTTTCTGATATCTCCTGTTTTAAACATGAGACCAAATTTTCTGGCTACATTTTTAATGCTCTGTGGGTGTGTCTGTAGCTGTGTATGTAGCTGTGGACTATTTCCATCAGCAGTTTCTGAAGTGAAGGATGAAGCATCATGGTGAGATGGATGCAAGGAGGCCTTAACTGAAGCTGTATCCTTTGCCTTTGCCTGTGGAGAAGTGTGGCACATGTAGAAACAACACCACACAGCAAAGGAGGCAATATCTGCCTGCTTCAGTACATGAGTTTGGGCTAATGATCAAACCAGGATGCGAGAGTTGCCATCAGGGAATTGTTGTATTTGTACAGGAAAATGCAAAATAGCCACATTTTGGACTAGTCTGTTTTTTAAAAGAAATTAAGAAGCCTTTCTCTATTCACCACTGTAGCTCACTGCAAAACCAAGAGGTGTGTATTGGTATTTCCAAAAATAGGTGAGCACCTTTGCTTTTCTCAAAGCATTGTTCCTCAACCTGCTGTTATTTTTAGAGGGCATCCCTCTGCCAAGCTGGCACCTTTCTGAAGCTCACTGTGTGCCAGTTTTCACTCATTACGCCATCAGCGTTGACTGTGCCCTTCCAAGGAAAACTTGGCAACTGCTACGTAATTAATTTTGCAGCCTCCAGCAATTCACAAATAAGCATCGTCGCAGAGGATTTGCATTTCTCTCCCCTGAATTATGGGGGTGTTGAGGAGTGTGCAGAGTCGGATCCACCCCTGCAGGGCTTACACCCATGTGTTTGTTAAGATTTTTGTCACCTGTGGGTTTATCAAATACTTTTAGTAGTTGTTTGAAATTAGTCTTAGTTATGCTGGGTTTAACACGTAGGGACAGCGTATGGTACTTCTCAGGTATCCTGAGTGGATGCAGCCGCTCTGCAGAGGAGCAGTTTACTGTTGTGTTACTTGCCTGTGTTACTGATGAAGGATTTTGCTTTACATGGTCTTCTAAGAGAAATGTTTAGTAAATGCTTGTGTCCATCGAGATTTCAATGCATTAGTCGTACTTAGATGTGCTAGTGATACAACTTGTGCCCTGAAAGCAGGAGTATATAACTTCAAAACAGTAATCTCAATGTTCTTATATTAAATTGACTAATCCAATTAATATTTCAGAATATTTACACAACTTTGGGTATAAAATGCAAAGCCTTTAATGCTTTCTAGATGGGACATTCCAGCTTTTGTTCACAATAAATTAAAAGTACAAACTTAATGTCTTCTAGAAAAAAAAAGTGTTGCCCCACAACGTTAACTGCTTTTCGGATTTCAAGTAAGAAAAGATAAGTTGTAAAATTAACATTCCTGATCACTTGCCAATTTCGGATTCTTGTGCTATTTATAAGTCAGCCTGCCTCTGCTTTTTTACTTAATTGGCAGGTTCCTCTTTAACAAGAACATGGATATTTTTTTTCCTATTACCATTGGATTGAAGGATGAAAAAAACACTCACGCTTTCGTTTTTGTCTGCAGAAACAAAAGAATGAAAAGGGAGGAAAAAAGAACCCAAACAAAACAGAAAAGTAAATGCTTGATTTAGATGAGTGGTAATTTTTTGGGCAAGTCAATAAAGGCTTGAAGTGTAATTTAGATAAATCTGTTATTTCTTCATGATGGTAGGCTGGTTTTTTACTTACACTAAAATAGAGGAAGTTCAGCATGTTTATATTTAAACCTGCACTACAGAGTCAAATCTCAAAGGAGTTCAGACTTGTTAATAATGCAGCCTGAACTTTTAAGTTCCAGCTGCTGCCATCACAGACTTCTTGGCTTAAAGATCAGTTACAATCTACTGCAGCCTTTTAGACCTTGATTGCTTTGTCTGCCCAGGAAGTTTCCCTGCATGGGGAATATAGAAATAGTTTTTCTACAGCAGGCAGGGAAAACAGCAGCACAGAGCAGAACTGGCTGGGGATCAGGGACCCCATTACAGCACAGGTCCTTGGGGTCCGTGATGATAAAGCAGTCAGTGCTCAGTTTTAGTAGTGTTCTCTTCCTCTGTCTGTGCAGTCTGTCCTGGTGACAAATTGGCAGCCTGTATGGCTGTCATGCCTCAAAGGGGTTGTACTGAGGCACCACGAGTAGGAACAGGAGGGGAGAGAGTATTGCATGCTCTGGTCCAAAATACAGAGTTCACTGCAGAGCACTGTGTGTCTGTAATCATGAAGCATTAAAGGTGTGCACCGGCCTCGGTCAGCAGAGCATGAACGGTGAAATTCTCACTCCAGTGATCGTAAACATGAGAGCTGGGACCAGCACTGCCTGATGAGCTCTCCCTGCTGGCAGTTACTCAGCTGCCTGCAGCCTTGCCCTCAACACTGCGTAAGACTCCAGTGCACACAACAGCTTTGCAATAGCAACAACAAAATACTGCAGCTGTTGTTTATGAGCTTCCCTGCCTGTTTGGGGTTTGGGGGTTGGTTGTGTGTGGGTTGTTTCCCTCCACACACACACACACCAGTCTTCAGTACAACCTTCATGCTTCCTCCTAATTCCAGGATTTGGTTTTACTCTTCCTCCCAAACTTGGGATTTTGACGCTTGCAAAGCACAGCTTTCCAAAAAGCTTGATTTTTTGCTGCAACTGTGTGTCAACAGCAAGTACCCTGCAAACTGCAGTCTAGCATCTCTCACCTCAGCACAGCGTGAGAAGTGGTAGGTATTTATCTTTAGTTCTGTAGTCCTCTTATTTTCATGGCTTGGGGTGAGGGGGATTTTTTAGCCACAAAGCACTTCTGTAAGTAAAATGAGACACGGAAAGAGGACCAAAGGCATTAGGTGCCAAGGAACATTGTCACTACTATTAACACAGCAAAGATGTGTTTTATGTGGTATTTCATGTGAATAAAAGGTTTGGGGTTTTGGCTCTTCTCCTGTGCATTGATTGATTTGCTTCTTGTTCTTTGTTTTTCAGGTGGCTTCCTTAGCAGGACCAGGAGGCAAAGTTGAAATAGAGCAAAATTTTCTCAATAACAAACTGAAGACAATAACAGCTTATTTTGGTGATCTAATAAGGCATGACATCTTATGAACCCAGTGTGGATTCTTCCAAACCCAACCTTCCTGACTGCTGCTTTGCTTAAGCTTTTTGTACAGCTGGCTGGTCAAAAATGACTTGGAGCTATTTTCCACTTTAATTTCTGTTTACAGAAATGTGTTCTGTTTATTGCTGCTGTCAATAAATGTTTTATAATAATTTTGACAGAACTGAAAATGTAAAGGAGCTGTGAATATGGGGGAGGGGGGCGGAGAAGATCTCTGTAAGATGCGGTCTTGCAAGGTTCAGGTCCAGCCAGTTGAAGGGGAGTTCAGGATTTCTTTGCAGCTCTCACATGTGCTACTTCTGTACTTGCTCTGGTTTTGAGTGTTCAGAGGGTCAAAAAGAGTATCCTGAAAGCTGCTGTGCATCAAGAACTGCTGTCTGTGCTTGAGAAACAGAAGTATCTGAACATCAGGTGCAACTAGGGGGTCAAATACACTGCCACAGTTTAGCCCCAGTTCAGCTCTCTGGCTGCATGCTCAGTGGGAAACCTTTTCAGGTTTTCTTTATAGGATGAAGGTCAACGTGTTTCTTACAGTGAGTACTCCAGGTTGTTGTAGCACAGGGGGAGAGCAGGGCATGTTTGTGCATAGCTCTACCCTCTGGTTTTCGTTACTTAATTTTTTTCCTCCTTCCCCAGCCTTTTCATTACGAAGATGCTTTGAAGAAACCTAACTGGGGGTTTGTCTCAATAAGCAGAGGGTTATGTGTCCCTCCTCTTTTTGAGAACTTTTGGATCCTTGTGCAAGTTTCAGGGAGGGCAGAGGGAACCTGGTTCTCCCTGGTGAGGGCTTTCTGCTCCCACTTGGGGTTTTCCAACTCTTCACGGGAAGAGTGGCTTTCGGGCACTTCACCAAGTAGAAAATGAGGCAAGTAAGAAAGTGTCTAGGGCACCGATATGGTGCTCTCACTGAAATGTGCTTTTGGAAGTACCCAAGATCAATTTTGAGCCTGGTTTTGAGGTAATAGGGTAGGAATATAGTTTCTAAGATGCTAAATTAATGCTGCTCCTCTTCTGTTTGGAGTACAGCAGGACACTGAAGGCAGCAGAGCTAAGCAGTAAACCACTAAAAGTAGTGCCAACCTCTGGACAATATTGAAAAGGAATTGTAAAGGAAAGACATTATCAACTCTTCAGTATTCCTTAGAAGTTTGCTGTTAGGAGGCAGGGGAGGGTGGTAGGAGTGCTAGTATTACAGGAGGTCCAAACCAACTGTAGCAGTCGCACATGAATGTAATGATGATGTTCAATTTTCACTACAGGCTACAAACACAATCCCAAGGAAGTCATTAGGACCAGTGAAGAATAAATTAATCTATACTGTGTATGTCACAGTAGTCCATACACTAAAATTTGACTGTCTTTGGCTTATTGCTGCTTACAGAAATACTGTTGTCTTATTCTTTGGTTTTATTTTTCTCCCTAAAGTTAGGGAGTAGCTTTAGAAGTATTTTGAGATCTTGCTGATGGTGTTCCTGGAAAAGGAAGCTCTGGGGGAAGTACCAGTGAGTTTACTTTTACCTTCAGAAAAGTAGTCAATTTTGTTCAGTGCCCAGTGTGCAGAATATGGAAGCTGAAATATGACATCAGAGGTACAATATTTACTGGTTTAAGGTTTACTTCCAGTATAATGAACTGACTGATAAAAAGGAACAGTTTATCAATAGTTTCTGCTGAGCTTTGCAAGCCCATGAAGCACCAACAGCAGAAGAATACTCTTGTTGGTGGCTGTTCTTTCTGTAACCAACAAAAAAACTTGAAGTCAGAATATACTTTGCTGGGTTGTGATAAATACTTGCCTTCAGCTTCCCACTTGCACGGGACAGGTGAGGTTCCCCAGGGCTGTGAATCAGTCTATTCGTTAAGCCTAAAATACACCTATGTGTATTTTTCTTTGTTGTTAGTAACTTCAACCAACAAACGCTTCCTGGAGGACAGCTTCGTTCATGATACAAGTTTCTGTAAAACTTCGTTCTGCTTATGTTGTAGGAAAAAAGTTAACATAGGCTGGGACATAGTTAAATTTCTGTGCTTCTCATGCCTGGAGTCTTAATACCCTTTTGGGGCTCAAGTAGCATTTTGTATATGATAGTTTAGGCTGCAAAGAAGTTACATTACTACTGTAAAATAAATACTCGTAGAGGTTTGGTCTTGTACCAATTTTAAGCCACAAAATAAGCTGTACAAAAAATGCAGATTTGGGGTTTGGAAGTTAACTAATATTTGTACTAAATGTAATAAATGCATACTGGTGTATACTTTCTACTGTGCTCTTGAGCTCCTAATCTCTTAGGTTTGTCTTAATTAAATCCAGTATTAAACCAAGTCCCTGAGTTTCTTTTCCTGGTGCATGGTATGAAGAGAAGCAACGGGAACATGCTGTTAAAACTAGTGTGTTACAAGGCTAAAGACTAATTAAGGTTCAAGGGGACCAGAGCAGAGCATCAGTGGGGCTGAGCAACCGTCTCGTCATGGTAGGACAGTTTAGCATTGTGCCTTTCTCTGAAGGAGGCACCGGCAGTGTTACGGTAAAAAAATCACTGTTCCATGAAGTTTTAATGGACAGGTTTTAGAAAATCTTTTCCGAAGTGTAGTAGTTTTGAAATAACATCTGGGGCTCTATGTGCAACCCAGGGGTTATATAAACAAATTAATGTTACACCACAGTGGCTGTGGTAACATTTAGGAGAGGGAAACCCCATAAATAGCAGAAGGAAAAAATTGCTTGCAGTAGCTCATTGAACAAATCAGTAGAAAATTGGGTGATTTTCACTTGGTTTACTCTCCCTGCTTTCATATGCCTCAAACTCACTGTTTGCATTAACTGTCCTCTCCTCACATGCAAATATTCCCAACTCCAAATACCAAAGAAGGAAGGTAATCCTAACATGTAGTGTGAACTAATTTGCTATTGGTGGTAATACAGTCTTTCCGTCACAGGTATCTTAGTATTCCTGCTACTGGGATATCTTGGTGCAGTCCAGAGGACTTAAAAAAAGTTGAATTTCATTGGTGAGGAAGTTTTAGATTTCTCTATGAAAACAGAGGAGAGATATTTTTGCCAGTATGTGGTGCAGTGGCAAAGGACTAAACGCTCTAAACCCAGGCTTGAAATTGATTCAGATCCTCTCCTGTTTCAGCGTTCCAGCCTGCTCCATCAGGACAGAGTATCTATGTATTCTGTGATTCTATCCTGTGGCTTTATGATTCTAAGGCCAGGTTGGACAGGGCTTTGAGCAACCTGGTCTAGTGAAAGGTGTCCCTGCCCGTGGCAGGGGGTTGGAAGTAGATGTTCTCAAGGTCCCTTCCAACCCAAACCATTCTATGAAGTCATCACTAGCTGAAAGGTAGCAGCAAGACTGGCTGAAACCAGTTGGAGTGATTGAACATAGTGAGGCTGGAGATTTACCCAAGCAGTGAAAATCCTAGCTGCAACCATGCAGGGAGGAGGTAGGAGAAAACGCTGAGTCTGCCAACAGTGCTTGTCCACCCCAGGGAATGGTTTCCATCTCTACTCCGCATGGTCCTGTGGTGTCTTAAAAGCTGCCCAAGGTAGTGCCTGAGGGATGCTGCTAAGCGGCCTGCTGCCCAGGGCAGAGGTGGGGAGGGCAGCAGCCTGCCTGGGAGCCCTGACAGTGCTGGGTTCTGCTTGAGGGTTTCCCTGTGCAGAGGAATTCCCTAGCTGGGCTGCGCACACAGCTCTGCAAAATGCCCTGCAATGTAAGTCAGCCCATATCAATATGGATTTATCCATATAAGACCCAAGGACTGATTTCTTTTCAGCCCACGTAATGACAGGGGTATCTCTTGAGTGTCAGGAAGCGTGCTTTTACCACCAGCCCTTTGTGTACCCTTCTTCAAGCCGCATGCAAATGAATTTTCTGAGCTTGTCCTTTCTGCAGGTCTCTGAGGTCTTGGCCCATCACCTCACAACATTCCAAAACTGGAGTGAGTTTCAAAGCACTCCCCAGCAGAACAGGCTTCACTAAAAACCCCAAATGTCTCTCTGGGTTCCTGGGTTCTCAGACCCTTGAGGAAAAGAAAGTGCTATTGGAAGCAATCTGGGTTTGATGGCAACGTGATCCTTCCTCAACTAATTTTCTTCCTTTTTCTCAAGGCTGTGCTGCAACCTTTCTGTGAAACCCCTGTGGTTTATTAGAGGAATGCAATGGCATCACCAGAGCTTCATCATTGCACAAAACATGATTGAGGAGGCTCACAAGTGCACCTTTGGTGTATTGGAAGTAATGAAATACATTTCCCCAATCTTTTATCCTAAAAATGTGCCACGGAATGGGCATCAGGGAGGATATTCCTCTGCAGAGTTGGTGCAGGTTGAATAAATACGTTTATCATATCAGTACACTGCTACCTAGGGCTCTAGGGGTTCTTCACCTTGTCACAGTGTCAGACACAGCCATGGTGACAGCGCCAAGAGATTTTGTGAAAGGCAGTATTATGATCTGACAGCAAAGCCCCTCTTAAGGTATTCATTAAATTGTTCCAGGCACCAGGACAGCCTATGATTATGTCAAACGGGAGCAAATTGTATGCTGTGCTTTCCCAGTATACACGAACTTAATCTGAAAGTCTGCCTAGGAAGGTTAAACACTGACTTGAGCTTTGCCCAGAAGAACTCCAAAGCGGCAGAGCCCGTCACCCTGGAGGGTCACTCGAGGGACTGCCATGCCAAATGTCCATGCCAGTGCGAGAATTATTCCTGTGGATGCAGGTTTCATCTGGGTTTATCCAAAAGGTTCCCTTGGACATCAGAATGTTTGGATGTTCCTAGCAATGCTGTCTGCTGGGACAGACTCGTCTGCTCCAGCTCAGGCTTGTACATCTGGAGAGCGACAGTCCCCAGAATGGAAGCTGGAGTTCCCCAGGAAGCAGCTGTGTGGGAAACCCCAAGCTGTGGGATAAACCACCCTGTGGGAAGCACTTTTAGTGCTTGTTTTGACACTGACAAGCCCAGTTCTCTCAAGAAAAGCTAGTCTCACTGAGGTTCTTCTCCTAATACAGAAATGACCTACCAGTCATATATCTGTATTAAGTATTATACAAGTAATAAGCCTGTCTAGAAGAAATGCCGTTAAGAGTCAGGTTTGACTGCAAACTTTGTGGTCATATAATGTAGAGTGGGATGTCATCTACA